CTCTCACTGGGTATAAAACTCTGGGCTGACACTTCTTTTACTTCAGCACTTCTTTCTGGCCTTCACGGTTTCCAAGGAGAAATCTGCACTCACCTGCATCTTTGGTCCACTATGAGTAGTTCATTGTTTTACTCTGGCTTTTTGTCTGTCTAGCTTTCAGTACTTTGCTCAGGATGTGTCTAGATATGGATCCCTTTGGGGTTATTCTGCTTGGAGGTTGTTGGGGTTCTTGAATCTGTAGGTGTACAGGTTTTGCCAGATTTGGAATTTTTTGGTCATTATTTCTTCAAGTATTTTTCTGTACACACTCTTCCCCATCTCTCCCTGGTGTTCCACAAGGACACAAATGTTAGCACTTTTGGTATTATCCCAAAGTTCCATGACTGTGCATTTTTTCTGTTTTTCAAATTATGTAATTTTGTTGGTTAGTATTCAAGCTCACCGATTCATTACTCTGTCATCTTTGCCCTGCTGTTGATTTTCTAGCAGGTCTTTGACCAGGATTATGAAATTAAGAGTATATCAGTTTTTTTTTAATTACAGAAAAAGTTTCACTCAGGTTCTTAGCATGGCTTTCATTTTTGGTGAGCAAGAACTATTCTCAACGATATGGAAAAAGCAGCAAGAAATGTAATTTTTTAGTGATGACTATGGCCCTTCCTCCCCACCCTGACTTATTTTTATTATTTCCCTCCAATGTCTTATTTTACCTCTTCAAGTAATTTAGTAAAACTTTATTTGATGATTGAATTCCTCCAACAAGAAACATTTTACTAAAATTTAGTTCTATGTGTCACCTTTAGGAATAAAGCCAACAACAAGAAAACAACTTAACAGAGGGATTTATTTTGTAAAATACCTGGCACAAGGTATTAAAAGCACGAATGAAGAAATGGATGGGTGGATGGGTGGATGGTCGATTCTTTCCCACAAAGCACAGTGTTACAAGCACTATTTCACATACATATGCTCCCAGTCTTAACCATAGTACGATGAAGTTTATACGTAAGTTTTTGGTTTTTGCATGGAGACTAACTCCTCCTTAATTGTGTGGGCTTCACGAAGCATTAGAAATATAGGCCACCTTAGAAGGCATACCAAAATAGGAAACTTTGCAGAAGATTATCTTGTTATTTCTCTCCAGAGAGGCTGCATTTTCCACTGTGGTTTGGCCTCTGTGGTTTAGAACGATGTGCCTGCCGAGAGCCTGTTCTGTTATGTAACGGCAGCCACCCCGGCCATCAGGCCTCCCGAGGCCACACGGTGCAAGGCAAGACCTGGTTGATGAGACGACTCAGAGACAGTGCTCTTGGTAGTTAAGTATTCTCTTTAAACGAGATTAGAAAACTTTAACATTGAAAGCATGTAAAATATTAAATTCCACTTCAAAAAATAAAAAATAAAATGGAAAATTAACTCTCTCTCAATGAATGCCCAATTTCCAACTTCTTCAATGATTCAGGGTCTTTCATTAACTCTGGACCACCATCCTCTATGTCAGTTATTGTTCGACATCCCAGTTCTGGCTGCACAGCAGTAGGGAGCCCACAAAGTCGAGAATGAGGGCCGCAGAGGGAGGAGCCTGGGCAAGAACCCGTGTAGGGATCCCCATCTCCTGAAGGCGGGTGAGCTAGCTGGGTTTTCATGCGCATTAGAATCAAGCTCTGGCTTTGGAATTTACTGGACATATACTCACTTTCCTTGTGGTCGGCGCTCACAACTCCAGGAGCCATGAAGATAGTCCCACATGTCTCTTCCCAGGGCAGTTACCTACATTCCCATGTCATCCCCTCCTCTTCCTGGGGACGTGGCTGCACAGGGAAGAGGGAGCCTCTCCTCCTCTCAGAAAAGAGTGCTGTGTATAAGCCCCAGATTCATAGTTCTGGGGGATGGGCTATCAAATAAGAGCATAGTCATCATTTCTCTTTAAAATGCAGCTCACAAATGGCTGTTTCTGGCGTGACCTCAGGCACTTTGTGACAATCGGAAGGTTAACGTCAGGCCAGTTCCGATGCTGTTACCCACCTTTGTCGCATGATCCGATCCATGCAGCAGGGCTGTGTGAGCCGTGCACCTGGAAGGTGAAGCTCACCCCTCACGCCCGGACAGCTGGGCCCACAGTGCACCGGGACGTGTTATTTATTCCGCAATTCCCCTGTGAAGAGTTACAAGGCATTTGGGGAAGCTGAAATGAAATTCAACGTCACCTTTCCTGGTGCACCCTGCTTTTCCTGTGTGGTTCCCACTTCATTTCCCATCGGTGGTGGCGAGTGGAGATCCAGCCCTGACAGGTCAGAGGGGTGGGAAGCAGATCTGAAGACCCTACACTGGAGGGGGCTCAGCCGCAGAAAGACGTTAGGGAAGTGACACGTGAGCGGGGCCTCAGAGGAGGAACAGAAATTCACGAGAAACAGAGCCAGTCTCTCTTCTCCTTCCCTCCACATCCTGACTCTTCGCTTGCTGGTAAAAATCAGTACTGTTTCCTGGGTGCTTGCTGTTTGCCGAGCACCGACCGCTCCCCAGCCGTGAGTGGGACTGTGGACCCTCCCTGTCCAGGCGTCACTGAGTCACAGCCCTGACAGCCAGTTCTGGCCTGTGCAGGTTCCCACCAAGCTGCCTCCTGCATCTCCGCCCCGAGCTCCCTACTGGACGACAACCTTCCTCAGTCACCTTGGCTCACTGCATGTGAGTCCACCAATCCTGGGAGACCCCATTGGCTGTCTGCCAGGGCACCAAAGTTCAAGGGTCGCCTCAAACATCACCCTTCTGGTGGTCACCCTCTTCCAACAGCACTTGGGGGCCAGGCTCTCCATCCATCCATCCATCCATCCATCCGGTTTTTGGAGGCTTGGCAGGCTGCCCAGTTCCCTTCCTGCCCTCTGCACATGGAGCCCAGCCCTCGAGTCCCAGGCCCCTGTCCCCGACTGTGGGTGGACACCAGGATGTCTCAGTATGTGTGCACAGCTGACAAATGCCTACACACAGCACCCTAAACATTTGTAGGAAAATTGGTACTATTTCCGCGTGACAGGGAGTGCAGGAGGCACAAGAGTACAGGTCCCAGTGCCTGGCATGCTGAGGGACAGAGAGAACATCGGTCTAACCTGGGCCTGGACAGAGCACAAAGACTAGGAGTTGCCCAGGTGTGTGAGATGAGGGAGAGGGCGGAGGAGAGACAGCTGTGTGTCCCACGGCACTGCAAGGCTCTGAAGAGTCACCCACCTACCCTCCCCCAGCCCTGACAGCAGTCAGCAAGGGACCATCCTTTCCACCAAGTTTAAAACTCACATCAGGTGAGATCAAAACTACACACCACGTGGACTGAGGACAGGAGAGAAATGCTAAATGCTTTCAATGAAAATGGAATTTCATCAAAATTTTCTTTCCAGAAGAGGTATGATTCAGTTTTCTAGGCAATACATCATTTAGAAGACTAAGACCTATATCCAACAGTTTGGCAAAATCGGCTTCACCTCAATAATGTTTGAAAACAAAACATTTATGGAAAAAATAACTTCATAAAATCTGAAGGTTGCATAAATTGCCAAAAACAGCAAACTCAAGTTAAAATGTCAGAAATGGCCATCGCAGAAGCCGGTGCAGGGAACCTTTCATCCTGTAGCTCCCACCTGTTCCTCTCCTGACTGTCCCTCCTGAGATCCAGGGCCCGTGAGGTCTCTGGCCTCCCCTTCTTTCCAGTTTCGGAGAAGCGCTGACCTCCCACAACTTAACTGCCGGCTCCCCGTGAAGGCGGGGTGTGTTCCAGGTGACGAGTCAGTCCGCAGGCCCCCTTGCTGCCGTAGACCTGGCTTTGGCTGCATTTCCGATGGCAGGAAGCTCCTTTTCAGCAGAGTGGAAATTTTATGTTCAAAATCCTCCTCCTAACCTCATGGTCACTGCGTCCCGGTGGACTGTCCTCCTCCCTCCCTGACCTCAGATCATCCAGTCACCAGGTACACACACTGGCTGTGGGCCTGTCCTCCATGCAGCTCCACACCAGGTGCTCATGAACCCAACGCCTGCCTGCCCGTTTCCACCCTGCGGAGCTCCTGACCTGGGCACGTCCACTGCAGTCCTTGGTGACGCTGCCATCCTGGGGCTGTTATCTCCACCTTGGTCATTCTGGTGGCTAATTTTTTTCTTTTGAGTTGCCTTTCAGCCCTTTTACAGAATGACTTAACCCATCAACTTTCTAATCAGAATCACTGATTGTACCTTCACAGCAGCGTTTCAGGGACGAGTCATCGCCCATCTTGAGCAGTGAAGTTTTTATTTTGTTTTCTGAACCGTCTCCGCTGAGATACACTCTGCCTGGGCCTTTGGAACATGCTGCTCCTTTTCCCAGCGGCCGGGCCAGGAATCCTTTGTTCCGGAAGCCCTGTGGATGACTCAGAGTGGAGCTGCCCTGGTTTCTACCATGGAGTTTCCCAAATTTGCCCCTTCCTAGAATGGAAGCTGGTGGAGTGGACCACATGAGGTCCCAGGGGTTCAGTGTCGTTGGGAGGCAGCTGCCCAGCCAGAAATGACACTTTCCAGGACGCCTGCCATGGCTTAGAGCCTGCTGAGCAGTCTGTGGGCGGACGCTGCGTTAGCCAAGCACACAGTGGTTCAACACAGCTCCTGCTGAAGGAGCTTCTGGACAAGCAGCAGCCCCTCAGACAGGGACGAGGTGATGAGCGTACACAGGGTGAATGCGACGGAGGGGCAGGCAGGCAGGGGAACACCTCCAGGCTGGAACTTCTGAGAATGAGATGGAAAGGGGCCAGCCGGGCACAGTTCTGGGGGATGGGCGACCAGAGAGGCCTGGGGGTGGGTGCTGGGGCTGGCTGGGAGCGAGGAGGAGGGGCCGAGACGAAGACCAAGACTGCCACAGCCACAGCTGACGCTTGGTCACTGTCACACACCACAAAACAGAGAAGGTGAGAGCTTTTTATTCACCTTCAGTTACCACCAATAAAATGAGACCTAGTATTTGAAAAACTCTATTGTAAAATACAGGATTTCCATAAAAATGTATTTCATGGGTTAATATTTCAATATGTATTTAACAAAAAAACACAAATCACGCTCAAATCCTGTCTAATCAAAGCACACACATGGGAATGAAACTCTTCACAGCTGAACTTTGTATTATTTACAATTCAGGTGTATGCAGCGCTGATGAGAAAGCTCCACTGGGCATTTTTGCCCCCACTCCCCCCAAATATTACCAAAAGGTCAGACTCTCTGGGTAACAGAAAAATGACAAATTTCAGGTACTACTGTTCAAAAGTTTCCATAAATTAAAAGCCATCTCCTGCTGTCCTCTATTTCACTGAGATCTAGCTCCTGACAATTAACAGATAAATCATACACCTGACAGACTCCAGGGGGCAGACAGACTAAAGCTCTACAGAGAGCAACTGTGCAGAGATGGTATCAGGGAAACACACCGAACCACGAGCACACACCATGTGGGCGTCAGCAACAGGCCACGTTGCATGCAGCACAGTTCATGCACATACAACGTGGAAAGCTCAGCTGAGACCCACAACATGGCCCCCACACAAGGGTGGGACAGCACAGCGAGGCTGCCCAGCCCACTTTCTGTCCTATTTTCTCTGTGTGTATGGCTCAGTTTTACTTAAATTTTACAGATTCAGATTCCAATGTTATACAACCTTAGTCCTTACAGTATCATCTCCCTTTACCTATAGGGCCCAGCAAGTATTTCTGTAACGCGGAGGCTAACATGAAATGAAAAACTGGCAACACAGACCACCAAGTCTGCTTGCCTCCTGAGATAATGAACTCCTTTTATTAGTAAAGGTGACTTTCAGTAAAAAGCCATCATTTAATTGAAATAAAAAAGTACACAATTCACCGCGCAGTCACAGCTTTTCTTGTAATTACACCGACAGGCATGGTCGCTCCCAGCTGTCCAGCTCAGTACCATGAGTATCAGTGACCTCTGTGATCAGCTCGCTGGGCACAGTGAACGCGAGTGACGGCTCGAAATGCTCCCATGGTGCACTTTACAGGGTTACAAAGAAACTATGTACACACAGAAGGCTTGTCCACCTGGCTACGGATGGTCTCAGGCCATCACTACTGTACCAGTGTAGCCTGGATTGAACATAACGAGCCCTCAGGTCCAAAATGGAAGCACTGCTCAACGGTTTCAGGTGGTTTTGGAATTTGGCGTTTCACATTGTCACAAATGATAAATGAGCGCTCTCACAGAGCACCCGAGACTAAAGGCAGCAACCACAATGCTGTCAGTGACAACAGCACCAATTAAAATCCACAACCGCCTCTAAGTTTCTCTAAAAACGAGCAAAACTAAGTAGCACACACGAGAATATTTAATAACCTTAACGGTCTAACAGACCTTCCGAATGGAAGGAAGCACAAGGAGGAGCTGACACCCGTCCCCCCCCTAGGGCTGGGCTCCAAGCTGCGGTCCCGCCACACCCTGCAGCACTGCCCGCACCAACCCTGCTGGACTCTAGAAGGCCAAGGCCACATGCCCAGGGCTGCGGGGCCTGCAGCTTTACTGACACCCTTCACTGTGCTCTCAGCACTGCTGTTTTAGTGGGTTTACCCCCTGCCATGATCTGAGCCAATTCATTCCCGCAGTGAGATGCGCGGGTCAACCAGAAGACGACGATAAATCCTCCAGACATGGGCTCCGACAGGAAGTATTTCGTTTAGTATAATGAAAAGTTAATTCTGAAAAATATCTGCAGTCATTTTGAAACACAGGCACCAACAGAGAGCTGGCTTCCAGCAGTGACTGAAAATGAATGGAGCTGGGTGGAGTCCTCTGTCCTGACGGCGACCTGCTTCCCTCAGGTGTGCGCCACATCTTCCAGGTAATCTGCCACGTCACTGAGCTGGGACACTGTTAGGTCCTGGGTCAGGTCCTCGAGCTTGTGGTTCAAGACAGAAAAGATAAGCATCAGAATGCAAGTAGGGTCTTAAGTATTTTTAAAATATATCGCTATAATTTAAATATTATCTTGCCCTGGCCAGTGTTACAATGTGGTTAAAGTCGGCCCGCACACCGAAGGGTCGAGTTCAATTACCAGTCAGGGCACATGCCTGGGTTTCGGGCTCAATCCCCAGTAGGGGGTGTGCAGCAGGCAGCCAATATGTTTTTCTCTCATCAATGTTTCTCTCTCTCTAAAAATCAATAAAAACATATTTTTAAAAAGCTTTCTCAGGGCACAGACGGTAAGGACTCAAGCCCAGATTTGCTGCCTTAGACTGTCTCGACTACAAGTGCTGCTCCCCTCAAAGGCTCCCCCTCCCCCCACGTGATCATCGGGACAGCCCCACTCCCACCAGCTGCAGCAGCCACAGCCTCTAAGGTGGACCCAGCTCTCTCGGCACCAATATGCAATCCTGAGACACCATCTCACACACCCAAGTACATTCTGCTCTCTACCTAACCACAAGCCAATTTGGATCCTGGATACAGATTCTTAATCCTACCCAATGCCATTTCTGCTCAGCTGTCTCCCCTGGAGGTCTGGTGCCTGACCTGCCTGTACAGAGCCCCTGGCATGGTGCACAGCCTCAGCCACACCTCCTGCACTCACAGGCTCATACGCACACCAACCACACGCACACCAACCTCCACAGAGACCTCTCCGAAACGACCCAGCCCTGCCATGGCCCTCCACGCCCATAGAATGATGCCCAGCAATAACACCGGACGCTCTGGAAAACCCGGCCAGTGACCAGAGTGACTGACAATGGACACAGTTTTACATCTTCACTTAATACACTTTTCAGACTTGAGCCAGGTAATTTTGTAATTCAGGTAATTCTGTCATAAACTTTTCAATTTTCAACTGTTTTTACTAATTTGTATAAATTTCCAAAGCTTAGCAGTAAATCACAGCAGCAAACAGGCAGGAAGAGCCCTCCAGGGAACCAGACCGCTGACCTTGTCACTGGTGTTGGCGTCGTCCAAATCTACAGAAAGGTCCTCCTCGATCTCCTCCCCAATACTTAGCTCGCTTTTCTCTGAGCGATGGCTGGTGCTAATTTCAGAGGGAAAGAAGAAAAATAAGAACTCTGAATATAAACATTTACAGAGCAACTACCATTGTTCAGCCTTTCACATGTTTATCTTAATCCTTTAAAATAATAAATAACATTACTTTCACATGTTCTCATTTGACCCTTAAAATAATGTGGGAAGGGCAGCAGGAGTGGTCAACTGAACAGATGAGAAAAGTAAGGTTCATGCTGCCATCTCAAAACAACTGCTGCATAGTAAGTCATTCTGTTAAAAAGTAAACATAAATTCCCAATTGGGAAAAAAAACCCTGTTAGTTACATAAAATTCTCAGCCTCTCATTTAAAATTTCTAATCATACCTATCCACAACAAACACTACTTCCAAATTAATTACTAGCCAACTCCTATGCTACATCTATGCTTACATGTCAACTGGATCAGAAAGATATGCGAGAGGGCAACGTGTGTAAGCAGATGTGGAGGGTTCCCACCGAGAGGAGGGGAGCAGACGGGTGGGGTCTTCATCCTATGGCGCCCTGACTGCTTCCAAGACCCGAGTCAGCTATGCAGCTGCTTCTGTATCTTACTCTCATCCAGTCTCCTGAACACCCACATTCTGATTCGGAATCAGAGGCATGCTTCCAGAGCCCCCTGCACACCTCTGGACGGACTATCTTTATTCCGTCCTATGAAAGGGGAACAAGCCCACTGCGACAGGCACCAGGGTGACCTGTCAGCCTCCCAGTGTCCGGAAGCTGCTCACGATGTATCTTTGTTGTCCAACTCTTTTTCTCACCTGTTAAAATCATCAACATAGTCATCATCTTCTCCAGTCCCTGGTAAGTTTAGGGAAAGATACATGTTACATTTACATAAACATACTTAACCATTTATCTACAATTAAACACACACATTTTCTTTCAAAAACTACATTACTGAATAATACTGTATCGTTACAAAAGAAGTCCCAAAGACCAGAAATAATAGTTACCCATATATAAAAGCAAATGAGAAAGTAACCTACCTAAGAGGCAGTAGTGTTACATCCTACATAACTATGTAACTACATAAAGTGCAGTTAACACCTTTTATTCCAGACATCGAAGCTGCATCACGTTGCATGTTTAGCATTTATAACGTCATCTGATGTTAACACTAAACATTTGATGTAATGGGACGTACAGCAGAAGTGTGTTAGCCCCAACCCCCTATTGTTATGTTTTTGACTCTATAACAGAAATCCAGTTAAAAAATGAGTGCAGCCAATGAGGGCGTCCTCAGTCAAACAGAGCTGGTTCAGGGGCCCAGAACTGAGTCCTGTGACCGGGAGCTGGTGAGCATCCCTGATGACCCTCAGCTCTGAGCTTGGTCACCTGCCCCCACAGGTTAATGCTGGGTGAAGTGTTACATGTGGCCAGGACGTCAGTGCACCGTGAACTCTGTGAAAAGGATGCCGCGAAGGGAGGGTCGCTCACTAACCACGCAGCCCCACCGTGTCTGAAGGGCACCTGGGGCCTGGACAGTGCACAGCTGACCCCACTGCCCTCACTCCTGCTATCTTCTGGGGGCCGCTGAGGAAACGGCTGTCAACAGCAGAGCAAACACTTAAGTGTCCACGAGAGCCGCCTTAACCATGAGTGACTGCATGTGGAAGACATGCAGGGATCGCATGGCCACCGAGGGAGGAGTGTGGACCCTGACAGGGAGCCACACTCAGTAACGAGCCAGAGAGACGCTCCCGCTGGGGATGCCCATGGGTCCCCGAAGACCAGACAGCCCATGACCATGTCCCGGCACTGCTGAGGAGGATCGAGTTCTGGGTGAGCTGTCAGACACGGTGGTCCTCTCTCGATACAATCCCCTGGTTGTTATTCAGGACAGTGACTGCTGGGTCCCAAGGCCCATCACTGGGTGAGGCGGCATCTCTGATCTCACGGAGTTCACCCTCCAGTGGAAAGAAGGGGCAGCGAGCAGCTGAGCAAGCCAGAAACTGGGAGGGGCTGGGAAGGCTGAGTGGCAGCTGAGTGGAAGCCTAGAGAAGGAGCCAGGTGCACACATCATGGGAAAAAGTGTGTTCCAAGGAGAAACATGCGCAAAGGCCCCAACATGGGGAGGCTGTGGTGGCTGGAAAATCAGCACGGAAGCTGGTAGAGATAGCATCATGAATCTAGGGGCAGGGTGGGGAGAAGACAAGAGGAGCAGAGAGCAGAAGGGCTGGCCGATGCCAGTGAGGTCATGGTCAGGACTTCAGCATAAATGCAAAGAAGGGAGAGGAGTGAAAGAGGACAGGTGCGTGAGGCCTGTTTTTTTTCCCCACACACTCCAAACCCCACAGGAAGAAATGTCCTTGGGAGGCAAAAATAAAGAGAAGGACAGCTGGAGTCTGCTGCGAGGCCCAAGTCACAGACGACTGCAGCTGAGGGCTACGTGGCCTGTGTGCTGATATCTGACAGAGAGGCTGTGTGGGTGGGGAGGAGGGACTCAGAAATGAGGACAAGAATCACAGCTCAGCCATAGGCAGATCACTGCCAACAATGAGTCAGGAATCCCTGCAGCTGATCGGTGAGTGGCCTCCAGTTTCCAGATTGCTTGCATCTCTCGAGTAAACAGCCCACCTGCATTCTCAGCCTAGATGACTCGGGGCCTCAGACTGTCAGGCAGAGCACAGGAGGGGACAAGGGGTGGAAGCGTCTATTGAAATAACCACACAGGTGCTGGTCTGCAAGCGTCAAGAGAAACCACAGAGCCATGAGGCAGCCTCCAAGACCCGTCCCTGTTCCCGTGTAAACTCAGCGCAGAAGTGAGAATTCAGCTGGCAGTGGGGATGGCTGCACTGCAGTGTGAACACAGGGAGCCAACTGAACCCCACTCCAGTGTCTGGAGCCAATCCAAGACCAAGCCCTCAGGGAATAGCTGTGCCAGGACTCACGACCATGACACCCTGACTTCCTGCTGACACACAGACTACAGATACATGAAAGCTGGGTTCACAGTCCAAATCTGGCCCACAACCTGTTTTTCTACAGACTGTAGGCTAAGAATGGCTTTTACATTTGTCAAGGATGGTGAAAAAAAGTGTGACACCACACGTGCCCACAAACCCTGAAGGATCAACTGCTCAACCCTGCACAGAAAGTGGGTGGGTTTGCACTGTAACGGTGCCAAGTCTGTCTCTCTGTGACTGGCCCCCATCTGCCGAACCACAGCAAGCTGGGCTAGAGCTTGATCTGTGAGCTCAGAGCTCACTTCCCACTGAAGTGGCATTTCAACATCTGGGCGCGAGCAGTGGCTGGGCATCTGCTGCTCTGACAACAGTGCATGTGATCTCAGAAGCCTCCTTGGCCCAGGTTCCTCATCTGTAAAAATGGAGATAATAACACCACCTACCTCTTGGGGTAAGTTTAAATAAAACAGACCCTTAGCACAGTGCCAGGCACACATCACCAGCATCATTACTGTCTGAGGCTGGTCCACTAACATTATGTATTATTAAAATACTGAAAGTAATGTACATTTCCAATGAAAATAAAAACAAACAGGAAGCAATGGCATTGCAATACCATTAAACAAATCTGAAAAAAATGCTTATTTATACTGAACCCTAATGTCTGGCCAAGTGGCCAAACATTTAGCAAGTCAACAGCTAAGGTCACCTGTGTAGCTACCAAACGCCCAGCCCGGGTCCTTCCAGGTGCCAGCAGAGTAGGGAGAAGCACGGACACCTTCCCCCTACCAGCACCTTCCCATTCTGAGCAGCACGGCCCCACCCTCACGGAGGAGGAGGATTCTGGGCAGCTCCTCCTCACAGGTGGATGGAGAACAGAGCAGTCACAGGGAAGCTCAACGGTTTGGCAACAGTGAGCCACTGAAAAGGTAAGAGACCAGAGCCCAGCACACGACAGGGCAGGGCGGCTACCAGGCTGGAGGTAAGGCAGGTCTCCAGGGGTGGCTGTTCATGGGGGAAAAGTCCTGGGAGCAGACTTTCCATCAGGCCTTGGAAGAGAATGTCTACCTGAAATGTGGCCACACCTCAGGGGAAAGAAAATGAGCAGGAGGAAGTAGGCGCACCTGGCTGACCAGCCCGCAACCAGCAACTTGGAGGCACCACGAGGCCAGGTCCCTGTGGGACACATCGGCAGCTCAGGAAACATCTATGCTGCTGCAAGTGGCTGCAAACGGGAACAAAGTAGCGTAAAAAGGAAGCTAACATTTACCGGGCACTGTCCTGTATGTGCCCACAGTTTCCAATGTAGTTACTCCTCAACCAGGTGGATGTTATTAGTCCCACTAACAAGTGAGGGAACAGCTGTTTCCTTACTGCACTTAGTAGGTGCCCCATCTGGGACTTTCTGAATCATCCACTTCCAAACCGTCCGCACTGTTCCTGCAGGAGAGCCGTCCTCTCAGACGCCTGTGGTCTAAGAAGTGTGGCAGGGGGCCACACTCTCCCTGCCAGTGAGGCCTGCCCGGAGCTGCCTGGTGGGAGCCGGCACTAGGAGGCCTAGAGCTGTATCACACACACTCTTGCCGTCCTCCAAGCAGGAAGGAAATGGTGACAGAAAACCGGCTGCACTAGCTGCATCCTCGCGGTTAGCAACCCAGTAAGGCATGAAGTGTCCCATCACATGGTCCCGGGTCTGCAGACAGAGAGCCGAGGCGAGGCCCTGTGTCCAGGCCCTGTGCTCACCCTGAGGCTCTTGCTGTTGCAGGAACGCAGGTGCTGCTCTGCATCACACCCATCCCCCACACCCACAGCGCCGGCACAAGTCTGTCTCCCCCATCAGAGCAATTCCCTAGGCCTAACCATGAGCTCTCAGCACCCAGGACTGTGCCCGGTCACCTGAGCAGAGAGGTCACTTCCTAGGAGAGGCCTTTCCAGAAGGAAAGCCTGGGCTGGCTTTAGGGGACCTGCTCCCCACATTCATGCCACGTGCACGGACTCCCCTGCCACCCACAGAGTCTGCAGGGCCTGCCTAACACCCACCAGCAGCATCTGCCATGGCTGCTGCTAGGTCTACCCGGCACACGGGCTGAGCCTGGACACACTGAACCAGGCAGGCGTGTGCTCATGAGGTGTTCACTGTAGGATGAATACCTCACATCATTTACGATTTTATTCTATAAAATAATCACCTCCGAGCACTCAACACTAAAACTGGACATCTAGTTACCTAATCCCAGAGATCCAGCTTTATCGTTCGCCAATTTCAGATCTTTCAAAACCGCGTTTCCCCTTTTACCTGCGAACAGGGAAAAACATTGGCATTAAATCAACAGAACACAAATGTCTCTAAACCACATCAGTTTTTTTCAGAACAAGGGCTTCTTTGCAACAGCTGCTTAATAAACTAACAGGAAATGACCAGATATGATGAATGGCTGCCTGTGTCATCACGCATCACACCCCTTCCTAACCACACACAACTCTTTACTAGACTGCGACCATCACCATGATTCTGCCCAGCTTCTTCCTTACGTACGACCACATGGACTACGGTTACTCTCATACTGCTTTTCCTTTGACCTCTAAATTCTGCTGATGCAAAATTCAATCACGATTTCACTTACCAAACTGAGCTTCTCTCCCTGGTTTTATTTCTTCAGCCCCTAGTTCTCAATGCCCCTCTACACCATTTGTCCCTAATCAGTTTGGGGTGACCTCATCACGATACCCTGGACTCTGTTGCTGCAGGTGATGATGACGTGGGAAAGAAGAGAGAGGCGATGTGGTGGGGCCACAGTCGCAGACCCATGGCTGGTGGGCCAGGGGGTGAAGAGATGCCACAGACCATCTTGTGTGCCTGAAGGCCCTGCAGTAGCATCACGTAATGCAAAATGGTGCAAATCACACTGTAATTTCCTAACAGAGCTAATCTACATTTTAGAAAACGTCAGAAGAGGCACAGTTACGCTCTAAACACTGTGCTGATCAAACCCTCTGTTTCCTACATACAGTATCCAAGCTCATCTCCGTATCTGCCGGTGTGAGCCCTGGGTCCTGTCACTGTGGGTAACGGGGCTGTGGGGGGCTTGGGAAGGAGACATGTGCTGTAGGGTGTCTGTCACTCCTCGTGCAGCTGACAGTCCGTCTCTGCTGCACAGAAAGACATGTCAGGCCCAAATCCCTCTTACCCTGTGATGATCACTGTGGTGTCACGCAATCTGCAAAACACATACTTATTAAACTAACTGAATTAAATCCTACTTATCAATCTAAATGTCCAAAAGAAAGAAGGTTTAAAATTGTATGTAGCATGTGACAGAGGGCTAGAAAATCAATTTCCTAATAGTACTTTGATGGCATAGGAAAAACAGAATACAAACCATACTTTTAAAAATTAAAAAAATAGAACACAGTATTAACAGAAAATGTTTTGAATGGAAAAATTATGGGCTACTTTTCTGATTCTGCATACATTTTTCTGGAAAAATAAGCAATGATCATATACTACTGAACAAGTTAGAGAGAAAAACATGAGTATTCAGCGTCCACCTCTTCAGTCCAGCACTCACTTTCGGAGTCTTTCAATAAGGGGGCTCCAGGGAGGGAGCCGAGTCCGCTCCTCAAGGATGGGGCATCAGAGAGTGAGGCAAGGCTTCCTCCTTGCTTCCCGGGGTCACTTCTCCTAACAAGAAACAGGTGCACAGTTAGGTGGTGCTCTTACCTCCTGCACTAGAACAGAGCAGCTTACGCAGGTCTCATGGGAACAGTGGCTGCACCATAAAGAATATACAAAGTACGCAGCACCTAAAGGCAACATCCGCTCCCCGCTCCCCACAATTCTGTATGACATCCAATCATAGAATCACCTTCACTGTCTGTGATTCTATCAGAAATGCAGGCAGGACAACACAGGAGTCCTGTCTCCTACCATCACACCCTCCGCCTACAGCGCACCCACACACTTCCACCCCCAGCCAGGACAAAGGCCCTGGGCCTCAAGTGCAGCTCTCTAGAAATCCTCAGTCCCCTACACCATCAACTTCCCTCTTTAAAATGGGACTGTTCTTATCAACATACACAGGTGCTGTTATGTTGCCCACTTTAATGGTTCTCGACCCCACGCCTGCCCTCCGGCCCCACCCCATTCCTTGGCCCCTAAGCCTTACAATAAAGTTCACCAGAAAAGTATTCACCATCTATAGTCCTCTCCTCCTGTTCTTTCTTGAGCCCACTCAAAACTGTAATACCTCCTCTGGCTCTCTGCTCAACAGCCCCTGGAAGGCAGGCCTTCTCTGACACCCTATGGAAACCTGCACCCCCCGTCCCTCTCCACTCCCTCCCTTCACTACCCTGCTCTCCTGACACAGCTCGCTGTGCCTCTTACAGTGGCCTCTGCCCCATCAGCAGAGGTTTTGCCTGTATCACCCCTGGGCCCTGCAGCTCCAACAGCAGCTGGCACACCTGCCTACGGAAGGAGTAACACCTAGGTTCCCTATATCTGTAACTGCCTTACAACACAGAAGGCTTTGATGACACAAAACCAGACTTACAAATCCAATACGTACAGAACCTTTAGCAGCTCACCATTCCTTAACTGTAAATAAACCATTCAGTAATTATATTTTTAAGCCTCTGTTCTGATAACCCAAAACCGAGGACTCACCAGCCGTAGGTTTTCTCGGGCTCGGGAAGGGGGTCATCAAAGAAAGAGTCTTCATCCACGTCGTCTTGTGGGCCGGGGCCAGCTCTGTCCTGGGCGTCTAGACTGGGATTGTTTAAGAAAGACCCGGTTTTTGCTTCATGGGCCAGGAGGTGAAGACTGCTTCTGCTCTTTGGTTCTGATGAGGAGACGCTTGTATCGCTGTGACTAGCATCACTGCCGCCCTTCTCGAGAGAGACAGGAGAGAGAAGGGCTCCTTGGTAAAATAAAACTCTAATGTTTTAAATAATAAAAAGTCGTGAACATATGCAAATCTCTGTATGTGAGTGTGTGAGCACGTGTGTGTGGGGGGGTAGGGGTCTTGCAGCTAACTGCCTGAGGTCCAAAGCAACCTACCACTTATCCCCTCACCCCCAGGCTCTGGGGCACTGCCCACTTTTGAAGGGACAATGTCAAAGAACCACGTAAACGCCATTCCTTCTCACTCCCTAAGTGTAAACACCTTTGCTATACCTACTCCATTATAAATAACTTTGCATTTCCTCTTACATATGTATCATTGCTTCATAAGTTACCACAAATTAATGTTTTCAGCTTGAAATAAAAGGCATTACTAGTAAAGCAGAGAAGGAAGATTAGCTCACACAGATGAACCAAGTATTAAAACAAAGTAAACAGCACTTTTCCACCCAGCGCCTGATACAGCCGACAACATAAGGTAAGAGACACCGCCTCTACAGCCCCCCTTCCTAATGTCAAGATCTGCTACCAGGACAGCACTGGCCTTAACTGGGACGTCAGAGGACTCCCCAACCCACACCTCCCCTGAATGTCCATAGCACGTGTGCCACGTCCCTGTGAATCTAGACCAATACACAAGACTCAGCACTTTCACTCCTGTCCCACTGCTCTGGAGAAGCTGCAGGAAACTGTGCGCAATTCCTTGTTCTCAGTGGGCCCTGACCCTCACAACCTGGCTTGATTCTGTCCTTTGTTGATTTCTTTTTGCCCTTAGACATGCCTATGTCAACAATAAAGATGACAACAAAAACAAAGGATATGAATGACAGTAATAGAAGTAGCTGACATTTATTAAAAGCCTTCAATGCTTCTCACGTTATGTCATTTTAACCCTCGACCCCATGGTGTGGGGCATATTCACTCTGCTTTGCAAGCAAATGTAGAAAAGATGTACAAGCAGTTCAGCCACTTGCCAAGGTAGCTGGGGAGTTCAGGGGTAAGGTAAACATCACAACCTGACTCCAGAGGCCAGTGCTTAGTACGTGTGTTATGCTCTTAGGTTGAGTCCTATGAAACTGCAGTTTTTGTGGGTTCAAAATGGCAATTTCCCAAGCCCCGCCTTCCACCCTGAGAGAGAAGGGCACGCTCCTCACATGGGCGCGGACACAGTCCATGCTGCGCTGCTACTGCAGCTTCGCACAAAATGCAATGCCCTTCCAGCATGAGCGTCCTTGAGAACTAAACTAGAGCAGCACTTTCCAGTCTCATCATTACTAGGAGTTAAGGAGGCTGGGAAAGCCAAAGACTTGAAGCTGGCCGGGGGTAACATGTGGGTCAGATGTTTCTGCTTTCATGTGCGGATAGACAATGCACTGGGCACATATTAAGACACGTTTCTGTTTTACACTAGCTAGAGACCATGATTAGTCGACAGTGGGCATTATCTATGCTATACGGTGTTTGGGCCTTGTATGGAGTTATACGACCACATGCTATCAGAGCAATTAATGATTGAAAAGAGCTGTCTGCAAAAATAAACACCAAGTCCTCATCCTGTTAGACAACACAAGATATTTTCAAAGCAGCAGAAAGTTAAAAAATCTCCTGACAACTTCCTTGAAGTTTTCCTGGTACGCAGCGTCAAACACGGAGAAGTGCGGCCAGCGGCCAACAGCCAATGACAACGCGGAGAATCCACAGCGGTCTCAGAACTCACTCCCTGCACACCCGCTGAGGCCGACCTCCAGTACTGGAGAGTGTGCCTTTACTTACAATAGGGGAGCCACAGAGGTAGCCAGCAAGGTCATATTCAGCAGGACAGGCCCTTAACCCAACAAGCTGGTGTCCTTACAGCGGAGTGTCGACACACAAGAGAACACCANATCCACAGCGGTCTCAGAACTCACTCCCTGCACACCCGCTGAGGCCGACCTCCAGTACTGGAGAGTGTGCCTTTACTTACAATAGGGGAGCCACAGAGGTAGCCAGCAAGGTCATATTCAGCAGGACAGGCCCTTAACCCAACAAGCTGGTGTCCTTACAGCGGAGTGTCGACATACAAGNACAGGCCCTTAACCCAACAAGCTGGTGTCCTTACAGCGGAGTGTCGACACACAAGAGAACACCAAGAATGTGACAATGGGGACAAGCCTGGGACTGCCCGAGCCACGGGAAGGTGGGCAGGCCTGGAACAGACTCTCCCTGTAGACTCCTGCCTCTCAGACTTCCAGCCTCCAGGACCACCAGCCAGGGTGAAAACTGTTCTCAACCAAGGTATTTATTATAATAAAGCTTGGTCTCTTCCTAAAATTGGAGAACTACTGCACAGCACTGCAGCAGCCACTCAATTCCCTCAGTGGATCTTAAGACTAATAAGCTTTATGGAAAATTTCTAGATTAACAGAAAATTAACATCACAGAGAGAGGTTTCACAGTGAAAATAACTACTAATCTTCCAATAGCCAAAAACTTGAATTATCACTAGAATGTCTTATGAACCTAGAAAAAAATTAATTGCTTTTCTAAACTAAAGGCTTATTCTGAAATGCTCATAATAGAGAAACATCAAAGCCAAAGTTTTCCAAGTTTCAGAAGTTCATGCAAATTTTCTTCCTGCCCCTTAACCCCCCACCCTAGCGCCCCTCCTCAAACCCGCCAAAGGCAGCATCTGACCCAAGACTTACCAATAAATTTAGAAAAGTAATTTTACTATAGCTGTAGCGCATGCGCGTGCACACACACACACACACACACACACTCACTCTTAAAAGTTTCATTCACCTAGAAAGTAAACAACTGTGGAATTCAAGATTCACAAAAATTCTAACTCCTTTCTAAAAACCGTTTTTCTACAGAAACTCTTCCTATGTTCTATTAGCAATTTGTAACTCCCACAGGTGCACAAGGGGACCAGTTCTCTGGCTTTGAAATCAGACTAGCAGACGACCCTGCACAGCTGCTCCATGCACCGCCCTACCCAGCCAGCTGCTTGGGGCCCAGTGGACAGTAGTGCCCAGATGTCAGGTCTTGCTTCTGAAGCAACCAGGATTGGGCTGCAGGCAGGACGGTAAGGGCCGAGTGCTGGGCACACTGCTCACCACGTGCATTCATGCATTCAGAATGGGTATGGGTGTATGTGTGAAGGGAATGACAATGCCCGGTTTATCTAGAAAATTGAGGTGTCTGAAAAACACAGAAACACCTCACCCCAAACGTACACACAGTGGGATCCCCATCACTGCCCTAAATCGACGTGAAGCTGGGCTTATCCAAGAATTATTTAAGAAATGGCCCTTTTTAAAGACCTCAAAGCAAAAAATACCTCAATACACACTAGTTTTAAAACACCTGAAAACTGATTATAAAAAGGCTGACCTTCCACATTATATTTAATGTGATAGAGAAGCATCTTACTCTAAGTTACATTAAGAACTCAAACATGGGATATCTCACTCAGTTTCTCTAAGTGAGCGGAAAACCCCAAGTTAGCGGTGCCTTCAGAGTCTGCTTAAGTTCTGATGCTCTTTCAGACAGCGACAAATGGTTCACACTGAAACAGGTCACACTTTGGAAGTGTTAGCATAGAGTTAAAAAAATGCTAACTCATTAAAGAAACACCCTCCTCCCACCACCTAGCCTTCTAATTCTTGTGTCCATCCTTTATAGACTGGTAACAATAGCAAAACCCAGAAACATAACTTTTATTTTACCCATGTTAAATTAGTTTAAAAACCTTAGATCTTGCTTTGCATTTTGACAGGTTCACAACAGTAATTTTTATATACATAGGAATGATTTTTCAAAGGGCCTTTGTAATATAGCTTCCCTGAAAACAGCTAAGGGTCTCTGAAGGAGCCATTCAAAACAGGCCTTCTGCATACAAAAGAAGCAATAAGACACACCCACAGGCCTTGCTTGTGCCCTGCCCCGTGCTCTCCTGCTGTTCCACCCATGTTCCTGGACAAGGGCCAAACTCTGAGCTCTGCCCAGCTGAGAATGCTAGCTACCTGCCTGCGTGTGAATGGCGCCCCCTGGAGTCCGGCTGTGTACAACCTCAATGACCACATACGTGTGGCTTGGTGTGGAGTTATTAAGATGTTAGGATAGTGGGGCATTAAGGATATGGGAAACCTGCTGCATGCACAAGGCAAAGCGGAAAGGCAGAGGAAGAAGAGCTAAGAAACATCTCTGAGGCTGGAAACTGCTGGGTATGACAGATTTCTACAGCAGTTCTGCAACAAGACCAGGAAGTAGAAGAAAAAGGTTTCAAAATAAAACCTTTGGGTTCAGGAACTACAGGATATGGGCCTGTTCAGACTCTTCAGCCACCCTCGGGTCTGGGAGTGTCTGAGGCCCTGCCCTAGAAGGAAGCCTGGCCCACCAAGCTGCTCCATGCACAGAGTGAACTGAGTCTCCATGGGCTGTTTCTGTGTATCTACTTCTTCAAAACGTTCCAACCTCTTTAGACCCATGAGAACAACAAGATTATGAAAGCTTGGTAATATAAAATATGCTCTTAATTTTTTTAAAAAGTCCAAGAAACTGATGAAAAGCATCTATAAAAAATATGCTGTTTTATATTTTTACTTATCTTTCTTAAGGTATGTCTTAATTCAATTAGACTGTAAGCTACTGAAGTGAGGACTGTATTAAATGTCGCACCCGGAGCACTTAACACATGAGCTTCTCTAGGTAAGTGTTCAGACATACTTGCTAAATAACATTTTAAAACATTTTGTATGGTAAGGCATAAAAAATAGTGTAAACAAACACGATGACAGGAATATACCATTGAAACCCACAGACGAAAAGCCACCAACATAGCAGACACACTGTAAACCCTTCCATTCTGGAGGTCCGCAGGGATCGATCCAAGAACCAAGGATCAACAGAACCACGAACTCCACAGAATTAAAAGCTAAGTACAGTTATCTTACTCTAAACTCGTGTAAAAACTGACTGATGGATAATGCTCCTAAGACTCTAATACCTAAAATTTAGAAGTGGCTGGTTTACTGGCTTAGTTCATTTTTGGGAAGGAAGCAGCCATAGCTGCTCACTGTGGGACTGCCCTCCTCAGCAATGTGTGATGGTTTCACAGCTGCTGAGCACAAAACGTCTGAAGGAAACTAAATTTAGCCTTTAACTTACCAACTGGAATGTAGCAAAAAGTAGTATTATGTCTACTGACCTCAGATAAAAATCATAATGTTAAGAATACGTACATGGCCATCCATTCAAAAGTATTTTCAACTTTTTTTGTTGCCAAAAACCAAGGAATCCTCAACATAAAACTGACAGTGTAATTTAAAAGTATAACAGTATGGCCCGGCTGGTGTGGCTCAGAGGTTGAGCGTCGACCTATGAACCAGAAGGTCACAGTTTGATTCCCAGTCAGGGCACATGCCCAGGGTGTGGGCCCGATCCCTAGTAGGGGGAGTGCAGGAGGGAGCCGCGCACGCGTGTATATATATATGGTAGTATGATTTTCACCTGGATAAAAACTGAGAGTCAAATTACTTCCTGTTTATGCCACCATGACTTTACCATGTCTGACCACAGGTAAGAGTGTGACATTTCAAAGAGGTGACCCCAGGCCCATGGATTGCAGGCCCAGTGGGGCCCACACAGGCCGGCCTGCCCCGCGGGGCTGCCCGTTCCTCTGCCCTCATGCGCGTTACCTTGGCACCAGACTTCTGCCCGCTTGTCTTCTTCTTACCTTGTCGTTTATACCTTGGTATCTGAGCATGAGAATAAAATGATATTTTACCACAAAGTATAAATCTTTAAAAGTAAACTAATTTATAAACAAACTAACAAGGATTCCTATTAGAAAATTTCTAAAAAATGGAGACATCGATTAATGTGTTTCTCTTAGAAACCCACTTTTTTGGTCTTTTCTTAACTCTCTTCCTCAAGGGGTTCAATTCATGTTTAAATACTCTGCCCAACAGTTACCGGTCAATGTGGACACTGTAGCCCTGCCCCACTGCATGGGCAAGCTCTTTGGTGCTCCATTGAGCAGCCTTCTGAGAAAGCCAGGCCTGAACTCCTGAGCAGCTGCAGTTAGGACTGCGCTGGCCTGGCCTTGCCCTCCCCTCCTCAGGGGCACACAAAGCAGGCTCCCGAGGGCTGCCGGACCCTGTGCTTGGCCACACTTCCCAGAGTCCCTCGTGCTCCCTGTGGCTCTCCAGACTAGGAGGCCCCCCTTAGGCACAGGCCCTTCTAGAGTCCCCAATGACTCCCAGACCACTGAGGGAGGGGAGGAGGCCGGTGAGGAAAGCACTGGAATCCCAAACTAAAATGGAACTGTACATGAGTCCAGGCCCAGCAGAGATGAGCTGTGGCACTCTAGACGCAGCCACTGCCACACAGGCCTGTAAACATGACTGAGGCTGAGGCTCCACGAAAAACAGTCAGCAGGTGAAGGAGTGTGGGGCCGCCTGAAGGTCTGGTTTCTGTTCTCTAATCAACCTCAGAAATCTCCATCCCTTCTCTGGGATTGTTTAGGGCAGCAATTTTCCCACCTTTTCCATATCATGGCACATAAACTAATGACTAAAATTCTGCAGCTCACAAAAAAACGTATCTTTTGCCAATCTGACCAAAATAATTGGTATAATTTTGACTCATTCACACTGGACGGCTACTGTAGTGTTGGCTGTGGTCATTTTTAAATCTGACGCTCTAAGGAGAAGGGGTCAGTGCCCCTGACTAAACAGTCAGGTGTTGCATGTTTTAAAAGTTCTTGCGGCTCACTGGTTGAAAAATCGCTGGTTTAGAGCAACATTTCCTAACCAACTTAAAACATCAGGTTCTCATCATAATTCTTAAGTCCTAAAAAATATGAAGAGAATTAGAATATGTAAAACAGACATTTTTTATCTTGAAGACATACCACATGTGAAAGGTTAGCATTGCTACTTTGCTTTAAAAAATAATTACTTGCTAAAAAGGGAACTTCCAAATAGCTCAACGTGCTAGGTACTACTAATATGGTATTTGGAATATGAGTTAATTTTAATCCTTCTAAAGCCAGGTATTTTCACAGAAAGCCACACTCTTTACAAAGGCTCTTCTCTCTGTAATTCACTTCAAGGGACTCTTTGAGTTGACTCACGATCTGGTTCTCTGTTCTGTTCTCCCCATGAGCATCAGGGGGGAAAAGCCTTCAGGGACCCAGCTCCCTGCAGAGCAGGTACCAGACCTGAGAAAAGTTACCAGCATCAACAGTACAAGGGTCTCTCTGCTTGGTTAGAAACAAAGTATCCAATTCCTTTCATTTCTACATTTAAACAATAAAGAGGATCAACAACAGCAGGAGCCATCCGCCCGTGCCTGTGCCCAGGCCCCCAACAAGCAGCCGTGGCTGCCACCTCCCCAAGTGCGCCTAATCAGAGAGGGCCCACAGGTATCCCCCAGCCCGGCTGCACCAGGAGCCTCACCTGACTGCTCCCAGGGTGGAGCCAGAGGGCCAGTCACCATGCTCCGCGAAAGCCACCCTTTGGCAAGAACAGGTTCTATCCCTGCGCCCTGCTCCAGCACATCCCAGAGACAACACGCTCCTGAGGACCACCATCCCACCCATGCCTGTCACTAGCATGAAGACCCCTGACTTTGAACCCGAGTGTTCCTCTCAATTCATTTCCATTACACCACATCCCTGAACCAGCAGGCCCTCACTTTGACCACTCCTAGACCACACACACATAACCCAAGCACAGACCTTCTCATAAATCCTCAAAACGGCTCCTTAACATAAATACCCACCACCATGGCTTACAATTCCAAGCCTGGGCACCATCTACAGTAGTCAGCACAACATTTTATATTCCTGAATATTCTCAAGTTAGGAATGTATAAATGAAAAGGGGAACAAAATTTCAAAGTACCAAATGAGTCCAACAATTCTACAATTTTGTTATTTAATAGGATATTCCTCTCTATGCCACAAAATTCAAAAAACTAGCAATTAAAGCAAAATAACTTTTAAAAATACATACTTCATCAAAAGGAGGAAATCACTGTCAAAAAACTGAACAGCACCTGTGTTACAAAGCAACACAGTGTGTAACGAGCAAGACTAGAGAGGAAACCCCGAGCTGGGCAACTCGGTCTGGACCATCCCTGTGCCCTGCCCACTTACCTTGCTGGGACCTGTGTGTGAGCTCGGTTTTCCGTCTGGTGACTTTGGTGGAGAATGTAGATCAGCCAGATCTAGCGCACCCTAAAATATTCAGTTTAAAATGAAAACATTTACAAATAAAACATAAACATACTAATTACACCTCAACAGAACGTTAACATTTAAAACCACTACACATGTTGGTATGTTGATTTCTTCCTAATTAATGTAAATACCCTTACTAGATTTTCCCAATTTTAATTTAAAAAAGCAAAACACACTTGGATTCTGATTACCTGTAGAGCATGTCACTCACTCAGTCTGCACCATTAAGCCCTCTTCCCTGCCCAACTCCCCACTGGTCCTATCTCACTTGGCAGACACTTGCTCTTCCCACCCCAGGACTGGCTGCCCTGCTTCATTTGTCCCAAGAAATGTCATCGAGTTCCACTCTCTGGCAGACGCCGATCTCTTCAAAGGGCAGCCCTCACTTCCTTCCCCTCCCACCACTTTCTCTCTACTTCTCAGGGCCCTGGCTCCTGTCCCGGCCTCACTGGGTATCTTCACAAAACCATTAGGCAATGCAAAGGACAGACAGCTCAGGGAGTACTCAGGCAAGTCCCTGGGCTGGAAGCAAGGGGTGGGAGGGAGAGAACCACGTGAACAGACATGTGGAAGGAGGACTGGAAAAGAACACTGTCGGTGTTGCTCTCACTTTGCTGGGAGTAGAGAATGAATCGCCCTTTTGCAGGGCTCCAGCGTTCCGTGGGTAACCGGATGGCTGTGCCATGGGAGGGGTCTGAAATTCTGGTCTCGAGCAGGGGAAAGGGCTGAGCGGGACTTAGGGAGTCATCCAACAGTAACGGCAACAAAACCAGGAACAGTCATCACAATGGCCAGTGTTGTCCCATCACCAATGCCCAGCACCGTCCCAAGAGCTTCACACAGACTGGTGCCTTCAGTCCTCACTGCAGCTCACCAGGCTGACCCTCCTGCTACCTGCACTTCAAAGGGGAGGAGCTAAGGTACATGGAGGTGAGTGACCGAAGATGCCGCACACAGGGCAAGGCCGAGCTGGGGTGTGAACCTAAGCAGCCTGGCCCCAGAGTCCAAGCTGTCCCCAGTGCACTAAGGGAGGAAGAGCAAACCCAGGAGAAAACATGGGCAACCACCATGCGTGAGGTGAACCCAGGAGCAGCTGGACTGGAAATGAAAGGGAAGCACGGAGAGAGACAGGTCAAGGCCTCAGAAGCCAGGAGCTGTCACCACTGCCTACAGACTGCTGGCTCAGGAGAGAGTGGGCACCATAACTGTCTGGGGTTCCTTAACTGTATGTACGGCTCAGTGCCCATCCTATAAGCGCACAGCAAAATCTTGTCAAATAATTATGTGTGAATGAAGTTACGATGCACAAGCTGTGGTGACAGCCTGTGCTCTGGACAGACCACCTGATTTGCCTGCCCAGAGGCACTGCCCTGCTCTCTGGTTAAGGCTGAGCTGAACAAAATTTCACAACAATGCCCCCTTCTGAGTAAAAATAATTACTCAAAATGTTTAGAGCTAATCATTTATTGTATGACACTTCCTCTAAAATCACAAACCATCATTTAAATGTCCATTTTCTCATGAAAACATCTTATCTTGAATAGCTCTCAATTTTTCTAGCACTGCACATAAAACTGTCCTATATTTTATTTTTAATTAGAAGAACCTATTTATTATGCCATGAGTTCTCCGTCAAGCTTTACTGATTTTCCAAGACACTAACAGAAAACCCTGACACTGTCCAGACAGAAGAAATGGCCGGCAGCCACACCCTCCACATTCTTACCCCTCAGCTGTGCCTAGAAGCACATGTGTAACCAGCTATAGTATCTGGACAGTTAAAATGCTGTCTATACCTGTCAGCAGTACCTTTCCATAAGTAGAAATCAGACTATTAATCTCTCTAGCACTGTTTCTAAAAAGGAAAGATAAGAGTAAGAAACGTAATGGCCAATCAAAAACACAGAAATTTGAAAATGTTTAAAAACTAAGCAAAACCAGTAGCTCAAATATTTTAGGTCTAGTTTAAAAAAGGCTTTCAGTTAAAATATTAACTACCCTGCAAGTTGGCCTTTTTCTGTTTAAATAGCACTAAAATGACAACTGACTCTAGTGGCGTGTTCTCAGCATTTCCCGTGCAGCCCACGAAAACCTCTTGGATCCCATCTCCAGAGGAGCCAGGAGGTTAGCACTAGTCAGCGGGGAGGTTACACTAGTCAGTGGGGGATTGGGGAGGTTAGCACAAGTCAGTGGGGAGATTACACTGATCAGCAGGAGATTGGGGAGGTTAGCATTAGTCAGGAGGGGGTTAGGGAGGTTAGCACTAGTCAGCAGGGGAGCAGGGAGGTTAGCACTAGTCAGCACGGGATTGAGGAGGTTAGCACTAGTCAGTGGGGGAGCAGGGTCCATCAATAGAACAGGGGTAGCAGCAGCCTCAGAGTGTCTACACCTCTTGTTTTCATTAAGACGTGCCCTTATACGATCTGAATGTTTCATTTTGTTTCTAAGGAAAAATTTATTTAAACCTTGGTTCACTATGTTTGTATTAATAGAAGATGAAAAAGCACAGGACTGCACCCACCTCTGCACAGGCGGGCCCTCTCTCTTTCTGCTGACAGCGTCTGATCACTTCCAATAACAAGGGTCCACCCACAGTACCTTCCGCTTCAATAATACCTAAGTCCCGGGCTAAATTCTCTCGACCTTCAAGACCTTGAAACTAGGGAAGAAATAAGATGAAAAAGCAAGCTATAAGTGCAGAAATATATAACAAAATTATTTTCAGAGTTTAAAGAAAAAATATTGTCAGATCTTAAAGACATCTCTAAACTCAGAGACTGTTTTTCTAATGAACGAAATGTCCATTTTTAAAAATTACATATACAGGATATCCCCCAAAATGGATACACACTTTAAGAGCTGATTCTATTACATTTGGAAAATGAAGTGTATTTTAATAAACACTGCCTTTATCATTATTCAAGTTTGTATACATTTTGGGGGGAATGTATGTACATATATGTATTTGCAGGGAGAGGGGGACTGCAAGTTGCCACAGGAGTCACTGGTGGTTCACCCCAACCTGAGGCTTACTCCCAAATACTCACTGAATGGGGCAGTGGACTCCAACACCACAATGTTTAATGATATTCTTTCTTTCCACAGGAAGCACAGTTGCTCATGTGTGTGACATAAACACATAAAATACCACACCACAACATGAGCACATTTCTATTTGGAATTTTTCACATGGCAAATGTAAGAGTTGGGGGGGGGGTTTATTTTATATTTCTTTTACCAGCTTCTATACTTCTTTTACCAAATTCTACATTAACAGGTATAGTCTATTATCATAACAAATCAACTTTACAACACTCCTTCTTAGTTAAATAAGGCAGGGAACCTGGAGCCTGCTGCCAGCTCATATGGTGTTTAAGAAAAACAGGTAACTACAAAAACCATCTTTATGCAGGACACTGAAAGCTGTCAAATGTTAAGTTTCACCTTATAATGAACTCATTTGTATCAAAGGCTTCAAAGGTGATGCAAAAATCATTCTTACTGCGCTAGTTTCAGGTTGGAAAACGGCCAAGGTGAAGTCAAGATTAAAGAACTGAAGAAATTCTGCCACCAGACTAGCCACCAGCCGGCCTGCAAAGAGGAGAAAGAGATGGTGAGCAAGTCCCTGAGCCTGCAGCTTCTCCACCAACACTTGAATAGGACAAGCTACATCAATGGGAGGAAAGTACAGTTAAGTATGAAAACCCGGTCTCCCCATGTTTCCATTAGGGTCCCAGTCTGGCAGTGACTATCAGGAAGACACTGTGACAGTTCATCAACAGATCAGAGTTCTGCGTCTTACAGCAAAACTGGTTTATCCAACAACTTCCCATGATCAGTAATAGGCAAAGCAATTTAACTGTTGTCCAATAAAATCTGATTTTAAAATAAAGACCTACCAGAATCACAGACTCTAAAAAATAATCTGAAATTCTTGATTTCTCCCAAGTGAAGTCACAATTTGAAAACTTAAGAGACAGACAAAATAAGAAAGAAGAGCGGAACATCTTACCGTCTTTTGTATTTAAAAACTTTCTCAGGCTCTCGTTGACTAAAGGGGTTTTGTTCTGTTAAAAAAATGAAATACTGTAAGTGTCATGTGTTTATCATGAAAACTACAAAATGTGGATTACAGGATAATTTTCTGACAAAGATATAAATGAAATATTGTCACCCATAAAACTATGGTCAACCCCATTCCACAACTACTGATGACTAAGAAAACTGTTCTGTGCTACTTAAAGAGTGTCTCAAAAATGATAAAACTAAACTGCATAGGAGACTTGTCCTCACTTTTAAATGTTTTATAAGTTGCTTATTAATTTAACTACTTTAGAAGCCAGATCTTCAAATACTCATGTGAAATGACATTAAGTTTACTTATAAAAATAACCATCAACTATATGAAGTTTGATACTGTCATCTCAGCGACCCACCACTCATGACACACTCACTACGAACAGGACTTGAATTACACACGCTCCTTCTTAGTCCACCTGTGGGAGGACACATAACTTTACATGGTGCACAGGCCAACTTATTTGAGTAAATAAAGAAAAAAACCTTGTAGTACATGGAAGCTCCTTCAAGCAGGCTACCTGAGTACAGGTATAGGGGCAGCCTTATACACGGCTGAGGAACATGGGGCAACCACTCTAGAAAGCAGTCTGGGAGTGTTTTAAAAAGTAAAAGACACCCCTGCCATGTGATCTACCCTCCTAGATATTTCCTCAAGAGCAAAGAAAGTACAGATCCAAGCAACAAACATGTACATGAATGTTCACAGCAGCCTTATTTACAAGAGTTGAAAAGTGGAAACCACCCAAATGTCCACCAACAGGTGAACGACTAACCAACTGTACATTCTACAGTGGAACACTACACAGGAACCAGGTGGAGCCATCTACCAACACACCACCATGTGGATGAATCTTAAATTCAGTATGCTGAGTGAACACTGCCAGACCCAAAAATAAGAGTACATGCTGTACGATCCCAATTGCCCAGCTGTTAGAAACACTTGGGTTGCCCAGGGTGGGGCAAGGGCTGGGGGTATTACAAAGGGGTGTGGAGAGACTTGAGGAAACTTTCTTTTTAATCCTTACCCGAGGATATGTTTCTTTATTGACTTCAGAGACAGGGGGAGAGACATCAATGTGAGAAACATCAATCAGTTACCTCCCATATGCACGGACTGGGAATCAAACCCACAACCTTTGGGTTTAAGGGACGACTCTCAACCAACTGAACCACCCGGCCAGGGCGCGTTGAGGAAACTTTAAAGGTCATGGACATGTCTACTATCTTGACTGTTCCATAGATGCATAAATATGTTATAATGTATCAAATTATACATTTTAAGTCTATTGAATTTACTGTAGGTCCATTATACCTCAATTAAGTTTTAAGAAAACTCAAAAAAGACAAGGAGGGTAAAGACCACAAAGGTCCTCAGTGGCTGCTATAGAAAACTGTAAGATGTTGAGTCAACTGAAATATTTAAAGAAAGTGCAGGGGCAAGATCAAGTGTACTGCAAATAGCCCACGCGGGAGCAGCATGGAGAAAGGGCTTCAGGAAGACGGACAGGGACAGCAGTGAAGGCAGGAGGAGAGGGGAAGTGACCTGGAAAAGAAATAGCTAAGCATAGGCCACGGGGCAGCCGGGAACCTCCTCAGACATATCAGGTACAGAACCGACAGAGAACCAGGCCAGACACGTGGGAGGAAGAGCAGGGCCTCTCTGATCTCTTGCCTGGCTAAGTAAAGTCCCCATAAGAAAGATCAGGTGAGCAGGCGTGGCACACGTCCTGAAGCTCAGGCGGCGAAGCAGATGCGAGATGTGGGGCTGAGGCTGCTGGTGTGGTGATGGCTGTTCAGGGACAGGATACAGAATGACAACTCTGGGACACTGCACCGAGGACCCCAAGGAGGTGAGCAGGAGAAAGACTATGCTGAAGAAACAGAGTGATCAAGAGGAAACGAACAGAAAAAATTCCCCAAAGTCAAAGGAGATTTTCAGGACAGAAAGAGGGATTAACAACGCCAGGTGCCACAAAGGGAGCTTAGATAGGCGAGAACTAAGATATTCTCAATGAGGATCCTTCTTGACCGCAGCAGAAAGCACTTAGGTGCAGCAGTAATGAGCTTAGGGGTGCTACCGGGTTAAAGGGCGCCTGGGGCATAAGAAACAGTGCAGACACACTCTTTCAAAACGTGCCTGTGAGGGGAAAATACAGTGGAGGGAACAGTTTTCAAGCTCCAGCGAGGAGACAACAGCAAGAGCGAGGCTGAGATACAGGGCCTCCGGGAGGAGCTGACAGCGCCCGAAGGCAGCCGCAGCCGAGCCTCCTCTGCAGGAGGGAGGCATAGACACAGGAGCTCCTCTGGGGGAGGACACAGCCTGACCACCTGATGCGCCTGGTCCCCCCAGGCACTAGACCGTCAGTCAGGAGTGAGGCCGAAGGGCCTCGCCAGGGTGGTGGCCACCATTCAGGGACATCAGCAACCCGCGGGCTTGGGGACTCTGCTCCAGGGTGCACAGGCGGGAGGGAGGGAGGGAGTTAGCGTGCTGACTTCAATGACCAGTAAGACTTTCTTCCAGACCGAGTGCAGCCACGAGGTGAGGATCTGACGTTATGGTCCACGGGGTCCAGACCAGAAGGCAGCGGAGGGGAAGCTGACACTGGACACGCCGAGGAGCCAAGCGAAGGGCTCCGGAGGTAACGAGGAGCCGGCATCTGGTCCGAGGGGCCGGCGAGGCCCTGAGCAGGGTGAAGCCGGAGGTGGCGGCGGGCCCCGCG